CTCCTACTCCTACTGAAACTACCACTACCACCACCACCACCGCCACCACTGCTACTACTAGTACGACTACTACCACGACTACTATTATTACTACTACTACTACTACTACTACTATTACTACTACTACTACTACTACTACTACTACTTCTACTACTACTTCTTCTACTGCTGCTACTACTACTACTACTACTACCACTACTATTACTACTCCTACTACTACCACTACGATTACAACTACGACCACTACGACGACTGCGACGACTACGACGACTACAACTACCACCACTACCAGTACAACAACAACAACTACAACTACTACTACTACTACCACTGCTACTACTGCTACTACTTGTACTACTAGTACTCTTAGTACTACGAGGACTACTAGTACTACTACTACTATTGGTGCTACTACTACCACCACTACTACTACTACTACTACTACTACTACTACTTTCCACTATTACTTTACTACTACTACACTACTACTACGACTACAACGACTACTACTACTATTACTACTACTACTACTACTACTATTATAGTACTACTACTATAATCTTTCTACTTCTATACTACTACTACTACTACTACTACGACTACTACGACTACTACGACTACTACGACTACTACTACTACTACTACTGCTACTACTACTGCTACTACCACTACTGCTACTACTACCCCCACGCTCACCAACATCATCACCATCATCATAGCCATCATCATAGCCATCATCATCATCATCCTCATTTCGTACCATGTTGTATCATCATATATCATCGTCGTCATCATCATCGTCATCATCATATGATGTGTGTCATGATCAGTAGCATGGTGACCGCCGCTGGCGTGGAATCATTGGGAGTCATCAAACTATTTTTTCCTACGATTTTTTAAGACGCTGTGAGAACCCTGCGGGAACCCGTCTGTGAAAAAACTGTGCAGGGAATCTCTGAGAGACCTGTGCAAAACTGTGGGAAAACTAGGAAAGTGTCAGTTATGATTTCTTGATCGAGCTTCTGTACCTGTGGTAGAGCAAGCACATCATTAAGCCACCACCCCCCCCCTTCCAGAAAAAAGATGAAAGCATAATCGAACGTCCGAGAGAGCAAAATACAGAAATCAGTGGGCGCCGAGCGGGCCCGGTCTCTACAACTACTGCTACTACTACTACACTACTGCTGCTACTAGTACTAGTACTACTACTACTACTACTACTACTACTACTACTTCTACTATTATTACTACCATGACATGTATCAGCGGCGTGCTCTGTATGTTGGTGGTCTTGCGGCAAAGGTTATGACAAAGCTTGCTCGAGCAACGGCGCCTCGCCGGAAGGCTTGGAAAAGCGAGCAAAACGACCACATCATGCAAGGGCACACGGAACAGGCAGCACGGCTTCGCCGTCTCGGCTGGGGTCGCCATGCGGTGTTGCGCTGGCACTGTGTATTGCCAGCAAAAACGTGGGAGCGTCCCGGCCGTGAAGCTGCAACGAAAGAAGGTGCCGGGGCCGTGCCTGGGGCGCATACCATCCGTCATGGTGCCCCGTAAAGTTACACATTGCCTCGCAAATCCATTCGGGCAAGCATCTTGGGCACCAAGTGTCATGGTTTCACCCCCCCCCCCCCCCCCCCGCCCCGTGCCAGTGCGAGCCCAGCGATAAAAACACGCGCCTTTCCTTGCACACGGTGTGCTCTCGCCGCCTCGATCCTTGCACATCCTGCGGCCGCATATCCCGGTGCTACCGGTTACCCATCGCATGAGCTTGAACTGTATCCGCACCCATTGTGAATGGGTGTAGGCCGCCTCGACAAAGGCTTGCGAATAAGAAACAGAACAACTGACGAACTGCTGCTGAAAACCACGATACCTTGAAGCAGTCTCAATGACTCAGAACCGTGTTTGGAATGTCATCTGTCAACTTTGCTGGATATTCTTAGGAAAAACCGCGGGAAGCGATGAGCTCATGCAACATGTTGCAACCGCCACGCTGCAGCTGCAAAGCTCGGACTGGAATGCTTGTTCGGACCAGCTACGATATGTTTTGCGTTTTGTTGCATTGCTGAGTTCCACTAGGCAGTGCGCTGTTGTGGCTACTGTTGGGTGAAACCAGTGTCATAAACACATTAGGTCATTAGGTGACAATCCGAAAATCATCAACATCATAAGGAGCAGTCAGCTGCACGGCCCATGCGCGAGCATGGCGAAGACAAGACGGAAAACAATCCGCTACACCGAAAACAGTTGAGGCGCGTGCGGTACGCGATCTTCCGAGGTCCGAGACAGTACCCAGATTCTGCCCCAAAGCGGTCCGTTGTTGAAAGCAGGGCGCAAGCTCGTGACACGACGCTTGGGAGGTGCGCACACGACCGAAGATTGTTATGTTCTGAGTCCACTGGTAGACGGCGAACTTAGAGCAATTGAATGCGAGCTCAAACATGCGCGCATCGATGAGAAGCTGATGCGACATTTTCCCGCCGCAATTTATGCGGGTAGCTGATCCGGAAGGTGATGGACGAGCCTGGAGGTCATCGCGAGTCCACCGTATGGCTGCAGTGAGGTTCGGCTCGTGACAGCAGGATGCCCGATCGATGCGAGATATGTTCCTGGCCCCGGGCAATGGGGGACGGAGCAGGCGCACTATGGTGCAGTGTCGCGCATTGCAGGACGCAGCGGAATCACCTTTTCACCGGCTAGGGTGACCGATGGCAGCGCACGCTGGACTGGGGGAGCTTGTAAAGTCGGCTTGATGTTAGAGTCAAGTATCGAACCAGTGCTTCGCGAAACTGACCATCAACGGTCCAAGACCAAACTGAGCACTCTTCGTCAGGTCCGTCGCTGTGTGCGCAGGTTTGTATCTTTCTGGAGCAGCGGTCGTGTTCGCATCTGCACCAAAGACTGTGTTGCCCTGCGCTTTGCGCTTCGGTCATGTAACTGAGGGGCCTCAACTAGCAAGAAAAGTGTGTTGGTGTACTTTGTAGTTTATGTACCAGATACTAAGCAATAATACTATATGGTAGTTATTCAGACCCCTATATGAGCCAGCTTACAAGCGTACGTCGTGCTGGCCCTGTGCCAGTTCAACGATGCGTCCTGTTGACAACCAGCAAGCTCGCATCAATAAACTTGTTAGAAACAAACTAGAAAGCATCGCGTTCCGCCGCTGTGCCCAAAGCAAAGCGCCGAGCTGATGTCGGGGCAGCAGGAAAGCCACAAGGTTGCCCATGTAACAGGGACCGTGGATTCAACTCCGGACGTGACATGCTTCGGCGTGAGTTGCGGCGCAGGAAGACGAAACTTCCGAGCAGAGTACCAAGTTAAGCGTTGGCTCCAGCCGGGTCTTCCCTAATACCACGAGAAGCTCTTTGCAAGCCCGCCTCAGAGGGGCAAAAACGAACTCTTGTCCGAACCGTGTGGGTCCCTCAACCCTAGACCCGGGTGAAGGCAGCCTTTCTGAATTTCTGTCTCCCCCTAAACCCTAAACCCTAAACTCCCTGTTTCTCCTGGTATCCTTCGCCCTAACCTCGTGGTGACAAACCGACCTGGGAACCTCCGAAAGCGACAAGCAGTCCCTGGTTGCAAGGAATGGGGCAAGCGATAGTAGAGTTTAAGGCTTGGGGTTTGGGGAGCCTTCCAATCTAAATCATTATGAACCTTTTGAATACCTGGCAGAAAACCTTGCTAAATCATTATGAACCTTTTGAAATCTGCCAGAAACCCCTTATTATGGTAGCCCTTAATCAACCCTAAGACCACATCGCAGCTGCCCGGCGATTCGCCGTTCAGCTGGCCAAATCCCTGGATGCGACGAAGCGGCTTCTCCTCCCCTACTTTCCGGTAGCGCTTCCAGTGCCTCTTCCTGGGGTTTAGGGTTTCAGATTTAGGGTTTAGGGTTTAGGATTTAAGGTTTAGGATTTAGGGTTTAAGGTTTAGGGGCCTGTTCCTGGGGTGGCAAGTAGCAAAAGTTGTTCAATCAAATTCGGGTGTGTTCCAAGATTTAGCCCAAAGCCGAAACAGGCCTATGCGCGAAACCGTCGTCTCCACCAACCTTTGTACCCCAAGCCCTAGACAAACCCTAGAACCCTTCTAAACCTCCCAAAGGAATCTTGCCTTGTTCTACTTCTTGAGGGTTTAGCGTTTAGGGTTTGGGGTTACCCTAAACCCTAAACCCTAAAACCCTAAACCCTAACCCATTACCCGAAACCCTAAACCCCAAACTCCAAAACCCCTAAACCCTAAAACCCTAAACCCAAACCCATTACCCGAAACGCTAAACCCTAAACTCTAAATGCTAAAAACCCCTAAAACCCTAAAACCCTAAACCCAAACCCATTACCCGAAACGCTAAACCCTAAACTCTAAATCCTAAAAACCCCTAAAACCCTAAAACCCTAAACCCAAACCCATTACCCGAAACGCTAAACCCTAAACTCTAAACCCTAAAAACCCCTAAAACCCTAGCCCAAACGGTCTGCTGAACTCTTTGGCGCAGGGTGCAGCTGAAGTTTGGCAACCTGTTGGAGAGCCGCAAATCGCTGCTGATCCGCGGCCTCCCCGTCACCTTCTGGGTTTAGGGTTTAGGTTTAGGGTTTTAGGGGTTAGGGGTTAGGGTTTAGGGGTTTAGGGTTTAGGGCTTTAGGGGTTTAGGGGTTTAGGGGTTTAGGGGTTTGGGGTTTATGGTTAGGGTTCAAGGTTTCAGGTTTAGGGTTTAGTGTGTAGGGTGTAGGGAATTTAGGGTTTGTGGTTTTGGTTCACGGTTCAAGGTTTAGGGTGTAGGAATTTAGGGTTCAGGGTTGAGGGTTCAGGCGACATGAGGTTGAAGGGTTTGGGGCTCCTTGAATCGCTGGGTCTGACGGATCCTATATGACTGGGACCCTAAACCCTAAACCCTAACCACTACTTTTGCAGTGAGTCTCTGCATGCGATTGGAGTGCACCGACAACGTCCGACCATCAATCCAAAAAAACCCGAAACAACCCTAAACCCTAAACCCTAAACCCTATAAGCCCTAAACCCTAAACCCTATAAGCCCTAAACCCGAAACCCGAAACACCCCGGGTTTAGAGCTTGAGGTCTCGAGTTGGAGGCGAACTTAGGCCTCGTAGCTTCGGGGTTGAAGGTTTAGGGTTTAGGGTTTAGGGTTTAGGGTTTAGGGTTTAGGGCTTAGGGCTTAGGGCGAACTTAGGCCTCGTAGCTTCGGGGTTGAAGGTTGAGGTTCCGGCAGTTTCGGAGCGGGGGGGGAAATGCAAAGTACCCAGGCCGGAGCCCAAAAGCCACCAACTGCCAAAACTCGAGAGGAAATACGAAAAAAAAAATATCTAGAGTTTTCGTGGGCTTTTCTGTCGTTCTTTGGGGCTTGGGGATTTTGGGCACCCTATCCGAGATCGTAGATGCACTTGGTCTCCTGCAATAGGGCTTTTTCTCGTCCTGCTAAGGACGGAAGAGGCAGCGAGATGCTCAAAGCCTGAGGACTCCAACCTTGAAGGCCAGACTGTAAGACCCGGCTCAGGGCCTTAGGGTTTAAGGGTTTGGGGTTTCGGGCTTAGGATTTCGGACTTAGGGTTTAGGGGTTTAGGGTTTCGGGGTTAGGATTTATCGGGTTTGAGGTCCAAGGTTTAGGGCATACGGTTTGAGGCGTAGGGTTGAGGCTTGAGGGACGCTTTGCTCGCGGATGCAGGCCTGAGGGAGTCTGGTCTGTGTGATTCACCACATAGTCATCCCGTGCTTTGCCTTGGCTCTGCAAGGGCGGGTGCCTCTTTGCGCATAGACATATGGAAAATATGCATGTAGATACATACGTTGACATTCACCTTGCATCTTTGCACACATACTTCTTCCGCGTGTTTATAGATGCTACAGAGACTGCGTGCTTCTGCAATTTGTTAAGGTACGTCCTGAAACTCGAGAGACAAATCTTCGAGGAACCCAGACCCAAAGAAAGGAAGTGGGCATTTCAGAATATAAGGGAAGTTTAGGGTTTAGGGTTTAGGGTTTAGGGAAAATTCTTAACAACCCCACAAAACAGCTCAAGCAGGTCGCTCCGATGGAGCCCAGAGCCCTAAACCCCACAGCCTCAACTCTAAACCTTACGAACTAAACACACTCATACGCAATCGTCTCCAACATCCTCATAGACCCCTCATAGAAACCCTAAACCCTAAACCCCTAAACCCTAAACTAAACCCTAAACCCCACATGGCCCGAAATCCTCAAACTCCCCAAAACCCAAAACCCAAAACCCAAAACCCTAAACCCTAAACCCTGAACCCTAAACCCTAAACCCTAAACCCTAAACCCTGAACCCTAAACCCTGAACCCTGAACCCTAAACCCAGCTGCGGAAGGCGTTGGCAAAACGGGTCATCAATGCCGAGCTGATGGTGCTTCCTGGGATCCCATACACGTTTAGGGTTCAGGATCTTGTTGGTTTTTAAGGGGTTTGGGGTTTAGGCTTTAGGGTTTAGGGTTCAGGGATCATACCAGGTTTCATAAAGCCTCGAAAGGGTCTTACGGGGCTCTGCAAAGTGGATGATCAAGCGCTTAAAGTGGAGGGCTTTACAGAGCGGGGTTCAGTCTCTCAAACCCTAAACCCTAAACCCTAAACCCTAAACCCTAAACCCTAAACTCAGGCTTTGGGCTTTCGAGAAAGGTCTTCGGGAGATCAGGCAGCTTCCTAAGAGCAAGGAAGGGGTCTACCGGGGTTTCGGGAGTGGGGTTCCCAGCATTCTGGGCTTTCCGGATTTCGGGCTTAAGGGCTTCGGAGTGCAGGGGCTTATAGGTTTAGGGTTTAGGGTGTAGGGTTGACCCTTACATAGTATAGCCCGTTACCCCTACACCCTAAACCTGTTGTCCGAACCCTTTTAGTAAGCCTCGTGGTGAGCTTTCGGGAACCTTTCTACAGTAACGCTCTTAAAACCTCCGTCAGCCCTAAGCCCACATCTTCTGAGGAACCTGCCAAGTAACTCTCATAGCAACCCTATAGCATCGAAACTCTCTTCTGTCGGGTTTAGGGTTTAGGGTTTTACCCTTTTTCCTGTAACTCTTCCCTAAACCCGGCTGTCTTGCTGTGCCAAGATGCGGGCTCCCGCGATCAGAAGCAACACAAAAACCAGGTCTTTCCTGGCGCCCTCCTGGTGAGCTTAGGGGTTTAGTGGGGTTGAGGTGTTTAAGGGCTTGGAGGTTAAGAGGTTTTAGGCTGTAGCTACTTCTAAGCCAGCTTACAACTTCAGGTGTATATGTTCTTGCTTGTAAAAAGCATGAATTTGCGATCTACTTATTATTGTCATCGACACGCTGCTTGCCACCTCGATGGTGGCGTGAGTCTTCGTTGCAAAAATCCGTGCAGCGGCAACGAAGTCTCTCCTAAGGCCTTGGCGTGTAATGCTGATACAATCATCACCCGCCACCACCTCTAACGATGCGTCATGAACGGACGTGGCCAGAATCGAAGGAAGGGATGTTTGGGCCTGCTCTTGCTTCAAATGTTCTGAGCCACTACTATGCCCTCAACATGGGAAGCCCTGCCCCTCAGAGACTAAACCGAAGCCAGCGCGCACCTCCAGCATCCATGCCCCGAAATGCACCAGCTGCGCCAGCTCATCTGTCGGTACTTCGCTTCGCCTCGCCTGGCAATGAAACTTGCCGCAAAAACTCGTCCTCCCCATGAAAGGATTGAGTCCCTTCTCCAACCCGGCGGAGAAGGAGAAAGGAGGGACAGCTACGGACGATTACTTCTTAGAAGCTGACCCTGGATCTGCATCCCGCAACTGTACACCGATCAGCCTGAACCAGCATACCTAACGACATCCCAATATCTGGACACATGTCTCTAGGTGTAGGTACACGTAAATGTATGGGCATGCATACATACGTACATCCATGCATCCATCCATCAATCCATGGAGGCAGCCAAGCATACGTACATGTTTAGCACTCGCTCTCGAGCAACGTCAGACGAGGTTTGGGGCACTGCTTACATGCCAAACAAACAAACATACATACATACATACATACATACATACATACGGGGAGCTTCAGGGTGAAAACTATCGAACCACCCCTTCCCCCCTGCCGTGCAATCTACATATGTACACACATATTATATATATATATATACATACATATATACTATATACTTTATACTATGTACTATATACTATATACTATATACTATATACGTGCGCTACACATACATACGCACGGCATATGTACAAACAAAATGCAACCTGTTTCAGGATCCTACCTTGTGCCATTCTATCTCTCTCTTTCTCCCAGATTGTTGCTGCCTGAAGCGCCTGGCGACGTGGGACTGCGCTTTGCGTACATCCCATGAAGCACCTCCGCAAGTTAAGCAGCTTAGGATCACGCCATGGTCTACGGGGTCACTCTCAGGGTTGCTACACGAGTTTCTGTAAGATTACGATAAAATCGTAAGAGTTAAATTACAATGAAGGGTTTTCCATAATGGTGAGTGCCAGGGGCCAAGGTGCTCCATGTTTGGGGTTGCACAGATGAACGCATGAACCTGCAGTCTCATCTAAATCCACCAGAAGCCTTTGAAACAATCGCCAAACCGGGACCCTGCTATGACATTATGAACCTCTACGAGCTTTTTGACCCTGAATCCCCGCAGGACCCTAAAACCGCCCAGGGAGCTGTACAAAAACCTCTGAAGCCTCGACACACCTTGCAAAACCTAGCAAAGCCTACAAACCCCCTCCAGGCCTTCTACTTGGAGGGTCGGGAGACTTAGCATAAAATAACGATTTACTAAGTCCCCCGACTCTCCAAGTAAGGCCCCCTGAATGAAACGACCAAACCCTGAGCTCCAAACAGCTGAACCTGTGGAAACCCTGCAGCCTCAACTCCTGAACTCTGAACTTTCACCCCGAGCCCTAAAGGCCTGACAGCAAATCCGAGAAAGATTTAGGGTTTAGGGTTTAGGGTTTAGGGTTTAGGGTTTAGGGTTTAGGGTTTAGGGTTTAGGGTTTAGGTTTAGGGTTTCGAGCTAGGCTAGAAGTGCTCCGGGCAGCCTCGCAGTAGAAGCACGAAGATGCGATCAAGGCGGATCTGGAATCAGGAACCTAAACTCCTACAACCTACCGGGCTCCCAGGAGCATCTTCGTCTACTGCAGCTGCTACTGCTACAAAATATCGGGCTGCTAGATTTTGGACTTTAGGGCTTCGGGCGCACTTGCACCCGAAGCCCAGCACCTGCAACTGCACCACAACTTCATTAAGGACTTCGGGAACTCAAAGCACCCCCAAGTTGCACGAAGCTAAAGCTTGCTGCTAACTTCCTGTTGCGCGACAGGGGGACCATCCTTTCATAGACGGTGCTGGGTGCATCCTACCTGCAGGGCGGATCATTTGAGCCGATCCCAGACAAACTGCTCTCTGGAAGTTGGTTGTCTGTGTTTTATTTCCTTCAGCTGTTTGTGTCAGTGCGAACATCGGAGATCAACGTAATGATTGTCTTCATCCAAAATCAACGAATATCGCTCATGAATCAACTCACAAGCGTGTCAGGCATCGCTTTATATACATACATATTTATGACCTTCACAACCATTCCATCGGAAACATCATATTCAGAAATATTAAACATCTCGCGAACCACCTGAAAGCTTCGCTCGACGCTCACATGTGCATAATATGGGTTTGTATGCTGTGGGTCATTTTGGAAGCAATCCTTAACAGTGTTATTCGCTTTGCACGCTTTTGGTCATGTCAATGCGAAAAGCATCACAAACATGACAATTTCGTTTTGGTCATGGAGGTGCGAGAAGCATGTGAGCAATACTTAACAGGATTCTCTTAACCCTGACATTTGTGCTTGGTAGAAAAACACAAAAATCGTAGAGCAGGATCATGAATGAAGGCATGTAGGTAGTACTTAACAGGATTATTTCGCTTTGCATGCTGATGCAGGTGTGAGAAGTCTTCATGTAATACTTGTATAACATGGTTTTACCCATTCTGCATTTCTGGTCATAAAGGTGCGATGACATTTATGCGATACTTAACACGATTACTTCGTTTGTATGATTCAGGTCATGCAAGTGCAAAGGACATGTAAGCGATACTTAACAGGATTATTTCAATTTGCGCCTGTGTAAAAAGCTTGCAAATAAGACTTCGCATGGGTCTTTCCGTTTTTGTGCTTTCGGACATCTAGGTGCGAAAAGCATGTAAGCAATAAATAACAGGCTTATTTCGCTTTGCACGCTTTGGCGCATGTTGATGCGAAAAGCATGTACACGAAGTAGAACATGGTAATTTCGCTGTGGTATGGAAGTGCGAAAAACTCAACTGGATTATGTCGGTTTGTAGCTTGTAGGCGATATTTAGCATCTGTATTTCGGTTTGTGCGCTTTCAATCATGTGGGTGCGAACAACATGTATGCAATACTTACCGGTAATATTTCGCTTTGTACGGTTTTGGTCGTGCTAGTGCGAAAGTCATGTAAGCAATGCATTACATGCGTAATTTTTTCGCTTTACCCATGTACGCACCACTTGACATGATCATTTCCCTGTAAATGGAAGTGCGAAAAGCATCTAGGCAATACTTAAGCGCATTGTGTCGGTTGGTCACTGCGAAAAAACATGTGGGCGATACTCAACATGTGTTTTGCGGTGGGAATGCAGTCAATCATTTGGGTGCGCGGAGCATGTAAGCAATACTTACCTGGATTATTTCGCTTTGCACGCTCTGGGTCATGCTAATGCGAAAAGCATGTAAGCAATACTTACCCGGAATAATTCGCTTTGCACGCTTTTGGTCATGCTAGTGCGACAAGCATGTGCGCAATACTTACAAAGATACTTTGCTTTGGTCATGGAGGTGCGAAAACCATGCATAACAGGATTACCCCTAAACGCCCGTTTGAGCACCTGTGATGTTTAAATTTTCCCCTCTGGAGCCCGGCTTGTAGTTTCGCGCCACCAACGAACACAGGAAGCACTTCTTATGGAAAGTAAAGAAGAAGGGAAGAAGAATAAGAACGATAAAAAGGATTGCGACAACGATTCGAACAAGAAGCTCCAGTGCCCTGGTGCTAGTGCCGCTGCACTTTTCTGTTCGGCTTGTTTCGCGTGCTAGGACTATCTCAGGTTCAGGTGCATCATGCACCGCAAAGCTAATCTTTTTTTTGATTCTTTCAATTCGTTTAAGTTTAGTTTGAAAACCCATGTTTGCTGAGTGCATGGATTTTGTGCTTTGTATGCACAGAGTTGCATGAACTTTGTTTTAACATGATGACAGTTCTGTTTTCGTGGCTGCTCGATGCTCAAACAAGTTTTGAGACGGACCATTTGGGTTCGGGGCCGTAGTTTTTCACGGCCAAGATTCGTGCTCGCTTGCTAGTGCTGCTGCAGAAGTCTCGCGCAGCTTGTTTTTCCAACTGGAGCCGGTTCCTTTTCACGGCTTGCTGCAAGTGATGAAAACAAAGACGAAGGCTTTGAAGCGGGCTTCGCACCTACATTTTGTTTGATTTTATTTTCTCCTCATGTTTTTCTTCGTTTTTAACCCGTGTGGCTTTCTCCTTTTCGTTTGGAGAGAACGTTGGGTTTCTTCCGCACTTTTTGGCTGGGCTTGGAAGGAACGGACCTTTGAAGCCTTCGAAGTCCCGCCAAAAAGCGAGAAGAAAACCTAACGTTCCAAACGAAAAGGAGAAAGCCACACGAGAACGCTTCTTGGAAGTCAAAAACGAAGAAAAAGATGAGAAGAAAATGCCAAACAAAATGTCGGCGTAAAGCTTCCTTCGAAGGCTTCAAAGCCTTCTTCGAAGTCGAAGCCTTCGAAGGCTTTGAGAAGAAGGACGAAGGAAGCTTCGAAGGCTTCGAAGGGAAGGAAACTTCGAAGCCTTCGAGGCTGAAGGGGCCCATAATACTGTTGCTGCTGCATTTGGTAA